CTTCCCCTTTTTTTTTTTTTTTTTTTCTTAACAGCACTCATGAGGAGGTATAGAAAGGGCCAGGTATAAAAGTCGGCTTGGGAATTCAGTGTTTGGGTCATTGATCATATTCTCCTGACTGCTCTTTGAGAAAGGTCTTTGTGCAATTTCCCCCATTCTAAACAAGAGCCCCCGCTGTGATAGGAAGCTTCAGTCTCCACTCAGAGCTCACCCTGCCTTAGCCCTAAGGATCAAAGGCAGAATAGACCCACCATTGTATTTGGGGGTATTTTTATCTTGACCGAAATTCCACCACTTAAACCACTGGAAACAAATATCATATATTAGAAAGCATTAAGCAAATGGCCAGATCAGGTGAAGCCACATGATTCTAGAAAGGAACAAAGCCTTCTCAAAACATGTACTATGACAGGGGACTTCCTTAGTTTACAAGGAGAGGCAGTCTCACCTTGGAGTTCACTGCCGTCATCTCATGAATACAAGGTCAGATCTTGGCCTGGTTTCACCCTGCAGAACTTGTCACAAGTTTGGGGGTGACTTTGGGCTAAACAATGAGTTACACTTTAATTTATTGCCTCCTGTTAAATAAGATCAACACTTCCAAAACCTTATAAAGTTATTGAGTTATCCACAACTTGGACCCTGGGCATTCTGACTCCAAGGTTGGCCTTCTATCTGCTATATGCCCTTGTTCCATCCACATGAATGGAAAAAAAAAACGCCCAAGAAAATCAATTTATATACTTTCATCATGGATAACTTGACCAAGGCTTCCTTTAACATAAATCTATCTAAGTTTGTGTTAAATAAAAATGAAACAAAAAATCCATCCTGCAAAAGGGGGCAGTTTTGGGGGAGAATATTTAGTAGCATGTATAGTAGGCTCCTGTCCCACTGGCAGTGGTTTCTTAGGCTGCTATGAAATAGGCTTTTTACAGCTTTGCAATCAGAAAACAGTGAAGAGTTGAGTGGAACCAATTATCTGGTAATTCAATCCTAAACCTGAACTGCAAACTCAGCTAATTTAGTTTGGGGGAGGGATGAGAATGTTGGGGAAGGCAGCTGAATTGAATGTCTAATTGCCTCAATTCTCTGCCCCATTTGGCCATGGGCACCATTTTGGATTATTTCTATACTTATGTCATACATATAGATATGTGTGTGTGTGTGTGAGNATTGCCTCAATTCTCTGCCCCATTTGGCCATGGGCACCATTTTGGATTATTTCTATACTTACGTCATACATATAGATATGTGTGTGTGTGTGAC